AGGGGGAAAGCCAAGACCTGGCATTTTCTGAGGGATGCCCTGAGACTAATGAAGAGTGCTTTGAGTCTAATAAGGCAAGGTTCTTTGGGTAGATGTGATATCTTTTATTAGACCAACTGAGTAGCTGGAAAAAAGTTCTTTGCAAGCTTTCCAGCGCAATCAGCCTCTTTAGGCACTGAGTCTAAAAAGAGTGAGAACCACTGTGCTAGGGTTTTGAAAGGCAGCACTTTCATTCTGTGCCCCCTCTACAGGTGCCTATAATTTCCTCAGTAGTGTAAGAGTGATGTTGTAGCTATGACGGTCCAGAAATCTTTGCCTTATCATTTCTTAGAGTGATATCTTCTGTAGGACCAAGTATGCAATTAGGATAAAGACTAAGTTAGACAAGCTTTCAAATGTAAGAGGCCCAATGGAGAATAGCTTACATTTGGAAGCTTGTCTATAATTTCCTCCAATTTTATCCTCTTAGGCTCTGGTGCCCATCCTTAACTGGCCCGTGGGCAGCACTGCAGAGCAAATACCGGGCAGTGGGCAGCCCTAAGCTTTGCCCCATCAATCAACCTCAGTGTGAACTTCATGATTTCCAGTAGCTGCAGCAATGCACCATCGATTGAGGACTGCTACACTGCAGGCTTTCAGCTTTGGTCTGAAGTGTGCCTTTTCACATTTAACGGCCCAATTCTGATGTTTGTATTTATTTGCAGCCCTTTCTGATCCTTGTGGGGATGTGGTATTTTGCCAAGACGTGCTTAGTGAAGTCTCCTGTGCCTTCCATCCTGACACTGGGCTGGTCCAAAGGGCAAAAGGCAGGTCCATGGGATCCTGGATGCAGTAGTGTGACCAACTCTCACCTCTTTTACAATATCCCATGTTTTCCTTAAAGCTCCCACTCCAACTCTAAGAGACTTGATTACCAGGGATCCTGGTTTTCTCTGATTAAAAAAAATCCCCAATTTTTGGATTAATAAAATGAACCCAAAAACCACATTTTTCCATGATCACAATGAAACACCACTAATATATAGATAGGACACAGGAAGGGGCAGAAAATCAAGCTGAAAAAATGATTTGGGTCAAAAAGGCCAATCAAGTATTGGAGAGTAGATGGGAAAAGACACTCGTAACAATATGCAAAGATATGCCTCTACCAAGATGCCACCAAGCAATGATTGGAGCACCTCTGCCAGAACAAAGGAACAGCCACCACATCAAGGATTTGAAAGAAAGGGTATGAATGAAATGTGGGTAAAATACGGGGGGCCAAATAAGGGACTGGCGGTATTTCACATTTATGTACCTTTCCTAAGGAAAGATCCTGAAGCACCACTGAAATGTAGCGGTGGCCAGCAGACTGGGCAAGAGCAGAGGTGAGAATCTAGCTAAGCCCACCACAGAAACTCCAGCTCTTTTGAAAAGGGCTGTGGGATCTATACACCGAAAGCAGGTAAATTATTTGTGAATGAGGGTTGGATAGCCATAGCCATTCCAATGTCCCCCTGTATACTGCAAGGACTATCCAGTTTCAGAGGGACCAGGAATTATGTGTTTAGCATCCACATATTAAACAGTCATGCATATGAATTCATCCTGGATGGAATTTTGCAAAATTCTGCTGAGATTCATGCCCCATTACGTGTGGAGCAGACCAAAGTTCAGCCATGTTTTTGGTAGACTCTGGCAGGCATTACAAATAAATATGCCAAGTTTGGGATATTTTTAAAACCCAACTTATGAACTTTCACTAAGTGAACATTTTTTTAGCTTCAAAGATATTTAATTCTTTCCATTAGTTTTCATTTTTATGTATCCTTACACCCAACCTCCTGTTTCTGGCTGTGATCAGAAGCCAAAATGCCAAAATAAGCCTTTTTTTGTGTCAGCAGAATCCAGGAGCAGACATCTGCAGAAATTTTATTAAATTGTTTTGCCCCATCAGTCCTGTGAGTAACTCTTTATGGATATAGGGACCACTGGTTTGGAGCTCCATGAAGGAATGAAGCTCAGTTTAATGTAGCATAAAGGTCCAGGTAACTTGGATAGGGATCAAGCATGTAGAGACGACAGCCCTCAGCACTTGGAATTTTAAAACAGAAGTTTTCAAGATTGCAGTTCTGGATTTAAACACCTAAATTCCATGTAAGTCCTTGCTAAGGCACCTAAATCCTTTCTGTGCTTAGTGTTGCAGGAGGCTTGATGCTCCTGCCAGTTTAAGAACCAGGCAGGATAGTGCTGGGGCAACATGCAGGTATGACTTGGGCTGACTGCAGTC